GCTTTTTCTATATATTCATTATATACTCCCAGAATTGTTCGGATTGAGAGAGACAGACGCCACCAGAGAAACAGAAGACAAACTCCTAAACCTTAATCTGTTACTTATTAAGAGTATTATTTGTGTCTTCCTCTCAGGCAGTCAGGGACTTGAAAGCTACTTTTGCTGAGAAAAAAAAATGACACTGCACTTTGACTCACAGATTCAACAGGTAACTGAAAGCAAAACAAAGCTTGACCTTCATTTTGTACCTAACTCCTTTTTACCATAAAAATCTGGGTCAGGTCTTTGCGCAGCTCTGCATATAGGAATGTCAATCATTTAGTGTCTTCTAAAATCCCAAAATAAAAGTTTGATTAGCTTTTAATTTACATGACCTGTCTCACCTCCTTTTAAGGCTAAACACAGAGATTCGTAGGGACACTCAACAACTGAAGAGCACTCATAAATCTCCCATTGTTACCCTAACCCTAACAGTCACCTTAGATTACAGCAGTGCCTCCACAAAGCAGAGCCTGCTCCAAAGGAGAAAAATTTTCTCAGAGAGTCAAAATTGCCCTCTCAAGGAATAGTGATATAGGGGAATGAAACTCCCAACCTACTAGATGTCCAATATGAGTTCATGTTCTCTAAAATCGAAGACAGAATTTTAGGAGCAACAGAGATTAGGAGCAGAATATATTTATTAAGAGAAAGAAAGCTTTTGTCTGAGAGACAGAAGGGGTCCCTACTGAGTTGCCTAAGACACTGTCTTTTCTAGGGACTTTATTTATAGAGTAAAACCATGAGGTGAGCTGGGTCCAAGGTAAGGAAAACATGGGAACTCCAAGGTAGGCATAAGGTGGAACACAACTATGGTCAGCCATTAAGATTAATTGTTCAGGTAAAACTGATTAAATCACGGACAAATGGGGAAGTGAGTCATGTAGCAAGTGGGCATGCCTAAAGAGCAGTGACTCTTCCAATAGAGGGTTGAGATGATGACTCCAGGCTCCAAGGTGATCCATACCTATTTAGAATATCAATCCAAAGTTTGTACTTAAGGTGCGGTTTCATTTGTTTTGCCTTTTGTCTTTGGCCCTCAGCAGAGGTGTCTGTCACTTCCAAGGGTGCAAGCTATCTGGTCTTCTGCACTGGCTCCTTCAAGGGCCCAGCCTAATCTGACTGCCTATAATATTTCTAACTCAGCCGCCTATAACAATAGGACTTCTCCCAGGCCCGTCTTGCAAAACCACAGCTGAAATAATGGTCAACCAGTCTCTCCCCCACCTCATCAATCAACAAACACTGGTCTCCTTACTTTGGTTAATGGACCAGTCTAATCCTCTTCATCAGTCCTCTCTTCAGCTCCTCCTACTGAAGTCCCTTCCTTATTTTTTCTTACATCATGACTCTACCTAATAAATCTGCCCATTCCTCTTACTATCTGTCTTGGAATTCTTTTTCTTCAGTGAAGAGTTCAACACTGACACTGCAGGATGAGTTGAGATCCCTGTCTCCTCTTTCAGGGACCTCATAAGACCTAATCTGGTGATAAGATCAAGTGTCAGACAGAAGCAGAGCACAAATTGCAACATGTATGATGAACTAGTTTTAAAGTTTTAATTAAAATTCATTTGATGTGTTTTAAAACTCATTTGATGAGTTGACTGGAAAGAATAAAATTTCAACCTAAAAATACTTCCATGCACTCCTTTATATTTCTTCTTTTGTTCTAATATTAGAAATGCTACCTTGATTTATTCTTCATTCATCTGTCTGTAGTCTACTAGTGGACTTTTTTCCCATTTTACTTATCCTGTGGCCAGCATAATGCTGATCATGTCATTCTCATCCTCAAAAATCTTTCTTGATTCATTCCCTCTTCCCATAATTTCTTCTTCTCCTGAAAGTTTGAGATTATGTCCTTCTGCCTAAGAATCGAGAATGCCCACATCTTAACAGTTGATGATCACAAAATAATAAAATATATTATTTGATACACTATTAAAATTATCCTGTCCCATGAGTCACAGGAAGTCTATTTTTTTCTACAGGGTTTCTTCCATGTATAATTTCTGAAAAGCCCTGTGGAATACTCACATGCTCAAAACTCTATCCAGTAACATCTCCTCATCACTCTGTTCTGAAATCCACTGCATCAGACCTTCCCTAGGATCTCCTTAGGGCATCCTCATTTTGTACTAATTTATTCCAAGACCAGACACCAGTCCACTTTGTTAACATTCAACTTCCCCCAAAATACCACCAGAGAAGCATACTGATTGAAAAAACAAGCTAATTTTGTTAGACTTACTGCAGCAAATACCACTATGACAGAGATTTAGCAATCTTGGAGGAACCAGTTCAGAAGAGGAAATCTATAGGTTTATGGGGTCTGGTTTAAGGGTAAAAAAATCAGTTGAGATTAGGCATTTTATGACATAACAGTCTAGGACTGGTGAATACAGCAACATTCATGTCTTGAAGCAAGTTCTGATAAACTATTGTGTGATAAGTGAAATGCTGTCTAGGTAAGGAATCTATCATCTTGTTAAAGCTTTTCCAGCAAACACTCTGTCCAGAAAAAAAGTACTTTGTAAAAATTTTCTGAAGTAAGCAACAAAATTACTTACTAGTCTAAAGTTTTAATTATTTCTTATCAGTTCCTAGGAAGCTGAGGCAGAAAGATCCCTGTGAGTTTGAAACCAGTTTTGGCTACAAAGTAAGTTCAAGGCCAACCAGAACTGCATAGTGAAACCCTTTATCAAAAAGAGCCCCCCCCCGCCCCCCCAAAAAAACCAAGATAATATTGACAATGTGTGTCTCAGTTCTCAACTTCTCACTACTTTTGATTCACAGTTAAGCTCATGTTAAGTGTATAATAGGACTCTACTGAATGATTATAGGACAATGAAGGTCCAATGCAGGCTTATTTTTGCTGCTAGTAGTAGTTAGTCTTCGACCTCACAAACTCTAACTGCAAATCACTGACTCCCAGAATGAAAAACAGAATGGAATACAAGGTTGAAAAGTGAAAACTAACGGACAAGACAGCAGATCCAGGAGAAACAAAGAGAAATCATCAATTTTAGGACATTAGTCATGGCCATTATGGTTTTAGGTTGTTAAAGATTTTGTCATTATTGTTTTTCTGTTTCAAGTTCTTTGATAACATTTTCCAAATGAACTCTCAAAGTTCCCACTCATTTATGTATTAATTCCCAATAGCTCAAAAGAAGATATTGAGATTTTAGAATTCTGGTAGTAATTATGAGACCATTCCCACACCACCATGCACTCTCAGCCTCATGCCTATACCCCATAAAGTGCTCTTAAAGCTTACCACTGTGGTATCTTTAATAACAGACAACAAACTTTTGCCTTACTGATGGTAATGTTACAGGTAGCTGAGTTAGAATTATTATAGGCAGTCAGACAGGGCTAGGTCCTAGAAGGACCAATACAGAAGCTCAGATACTTTGCAACTGTGGGGGGAGTCAGACACCTCCTGTTGCCGGCCAGGGTTCAAGATAAAAGACCAAACAAATGAACCCACATCCTAAGAACTGAAATTCTAAATAGGTCTTTATCACCCTGAGAAAGCCAGGAGTCACCATCTCAACCCTCTACAGAAAGTCACTGCTTAAGCACGCCTGCTTGCTACATGACTCGCTTCCTCATTTGTCCTGACTTAATCAATTTTACCTGAACAGTTAATCTTATTGGCTAAACATAATTGTATCCTACCTTATGCCTACCTTGTGTTCCCATGTTTTCCTCACCTTGGACCCAGCTCATCTTGTGGTTTTACTCTAGAAAAGTCCCTAGAAAAGACAGTGTCTATGGCAACCCACTCAAGACCCCTTCTCTCTCTTAGACAAAAGTTTTCTTTCTCTCAGTAAATATATTCTGCTCTTAACCTGCGTCGTTCCTAAAATTCATTCTTCGATTTTAGAGAACATGAACTCGTACTGGACATCTAGTTGGTTGGGAGTTTCATTCCCCTATATCATTAGTAATACTCTTTCAGAGATAACCATATTTCATGCTGGTTTTCTTAAAACTCCACTGCTACACAAGTGACGGCGACACAGTTTTACGGTAATAAATTTCTCTATTCTAACTCCTAGGTTATTAAGCTGTTATTACAGCGGCCGACATATTAACTGTCCCCAAACATATTTTGGGACACCTCATTTATAGACGAATATTCTTTTGCTTCCTATATGGCTGAAGTTCAATACCAACTTGCTCCAAGTTTAATTTTTATATGTACTTCCTACTGCTGTACACACACACACACACACACACACACACACACACAGAGGCCAGGCGAGGTGACGGGATGATGAAGACTTAGGTGGGGGAGATGAAGAGCTCAATCCACTCCCTAGAGGCCGTGCAGACACCCTTGACACCCTCAAAACCTTTCCAAACCTTCAACTCCCCCAAAGCCTCCCCTTGCGGGGTCTGATGAAGGCTGCAGAGGGAATAGAAGCATACCCGTGTCAAAACGAATCTCTTAATAGGAAAGTTAGTGGAGGCGCACAGTAGCTCCGATCTGGGGGGACTGGTTTCCTATTTAGAGAAAATGGAGCCGTCCTCCTTCAGCAGAGAGCCGCCTATTGTGCGGGTAATGACGAGCAGGCCCGGCTGACCTGGCAATGAGGTGCTGCAGCTAAATACCTGAAGGCCGGGCAGCGCCCGCGAGGAGCCGAGGCCCCATCTGTCAGGCTGTAATGATTGTGCTATTTGGAGGCGGAAAGGTTCGTCGGGAGCAGCTGGTTTCTCTCCAAGTGACCTTTTAGCATTTCTGCTTTTGCCGTCTGACAGATGTGTCAACTCAATAATTTCAAAAGCCCCTGAGTAAATAACCAATTGTGAGCAAGGATGACCCAAAGCGATGACAAAATGGCTGCGCGCGGCGCATTGCGGCGCACAATGCCGCGGACGGAACCGGGCGCATTATCGGAAGGGAAAACGTTTTAGTCTTTATGTCGGCTAAATGGCTTTCTTACCCACTCGTCCGTGGTTCTTGAAAGGGGGAAGAAAAAGGGAAGGCGGGTGGGGCGGAAGGGCTTTGTGGCGGCGCGGCACCTGGAAGGCTGCATTAGGCGCGCGGCCCCAGGTGGCGTCGAGCGCGGGAAGCGGACGCGGGCGCGGGCCGGGCGGCGGGCGCGCACCCTGACGGGTCTGCGGGCGGCGCGGGGCGCGGGCTGCTCCATCCGGGAACCCAGGGGTGCGACCCGGCCAAAGCTGAGATAGGGGCGCGCGCGGTCAGCGGGCCGCGGAGCCTGGAGCGAGCTTGCTCAGGAGTGCGTGGCGTCCAGAAATGGAAATCTCCTTTGGGCACTTGTTTCTTTCTCACTTTCTTTGACTGTTGAAGACCGCAGACGCTAGTGAGAAGGCTCTGCTGGCTGAACACCGGCGGACACCACCGTCACCCCACCCCACCCCACCCCCACCCCCAGGGAGACACTATTGGCTAGGATGAGGATGTCCAAAGGACCTTTCAATTTCTCTGCATTGCAAGTGTTAGGAATTTTTTAACCTCCGTCTTTTAATACGTTGGGTAAAATTAGATAAAAGTGAATATTGACCTCCAAAAGCAGTTCTTCCATGCCTAATGTCAGTCTTCCCTGAAACCAGCTATTATTACGATGGAGGTGATGGAAACAAAGGCCTTGGTGTGCTGGAGACAACCGATACTGGTTTGCAGGAGTCGCTGTCAAAGCCCAGCATAGTGGTGCATGCATTTCTGTACTGTACTGCCAAGTATTCTTTGGGAGACTCAGGCAGAAGGATTATAAATTTGAGGCTGGCCTGGACAACTTAGGACAACTTAGGTCCTGTCTCAAGAAAAGGACCAGGGGTATAACTCAGTGATAAAGCTTGCCTAGTATGGAGGGTGTCCTGGATTCAGTCACAGTATAGATGGGGCAGGGATGTTGGCTTTGGAATTATTCATACTGGTAGTATGTACATCATGGAAATTGGCAAAGACTACCAAGAGAGAGCTGATTATTATATTCTTAGTGAGACTAGTGAATCTGACCATTGGAAAGCACTTTCACTTGCTGATGATCAGCTTCCTCTCTCCTTTTCCAAATTCATACTCCATTTGAAAAGATTTAGGCATGCTTACAAATTATATGCTTAGGGTGTTTTTTATGTGTGTTCGTTGTTTGTTTGTTTCTTTGTTTCTGAGACAGTCCAGGCTGGACTCAAACTTGCAGTGATCCCCTTCCTCAGCTTCCCAAGTGCTGCAAATACAGGCATGTGCCAGCATACCAGGCTCGTCTAGAATTTTACAGTAAAAGTATCTCAAAATAACACACTATGTTCCCATGGTTGGGCTTTAGTTCCACTTTAGCCTGACTGTTCCCTAAATAAAACTTTATTCCAGGTAATCTGATCAAGTAGCCCAGAAGATTTCAATCATTCCTAATAGCAGAATTTTGCTTCTTTATGTGCTCCCTGTTAGACTTGTGGGTGCCTTCCCATCTACCTACCTAATCCTATGCATTCGTCAAAGCCCAGCTCCTCTCTCATGGCTGTAGTCTAGTGGTGGCAAACCCATGGCACATGTGTCACAGAGGGCTGTTTGTTATCCCTGAAAGCTCTACAAGTTTCACTATCACTGCTCTGGTCTTTGATTACATTTTCCCCATAACTTCTACGACACTTTTGTCTCCCACTTGTCACTTTAGCTCTTAATTGACCAATACACTACCTTTGAATTTTACTTTCTACTTTTCTGTGTGATGCCTTGTCTACTCAAATAGCATATTCTCTTGTAAAGCAAAGACTTTGTGTTACAAAAGATGATATATATCTGCCTTGGCCTGTGGAACAACTCTATTCAGTGTGTATAGTAAAAGTAAAAGTTGTCTCAACTCTTTCAATATGAATCTGTGGAAGCTTCCAGTTAACATTGCTACCAAAGCCTCAACTCTCAAGAAATTCGTTGGAGTTCTGATAACATTGTGTTATAAAAGTTCCTGCATGGTTATAAATGTGTTTAATTCATTACTACCACTTCAGAATCTCTGAGTAATTCATTATACACATACGTTAAGAACCATGACTCAAAAGATAATATGAATGGAGAGAGTGATGGAAATATAGTCAAAATTCAAATGAAATAGATAATTGTTTATCAACTTGTTTTTAGTCATGGATGATCCAGCTAACTTAAATATATCATTGTGACTTCTAGCACTCTCTATTTGGCCATAGCTCATTAAGGAATAAGTGATACCTGTAGCAACACCGCCATTCTAATGTCTGGATCCACACAGGTCTACCCATTTAGATTCTTCCTGCCTCAACAACTCTGCTGATAAAACCTTCTAGACTTCTGAGAACACTATTTTTTGTGTGTTTTAAAGCTGCATTTTTGATAATAAGAGAGAGTTAGCTGCTTTACTAAGATGTATAAATCAAGAAAAAAAACAGAATAATTCATTTTCTGGTTTGCTTCCATTTATCCATGAATGAGAATAATATTGAGACTGCAAAAAATTGAACACAAATCTTAGTAGGGGAGATAGTAAGAGTGTCTAGCAGCTTTAAAATGTGTTCAAGTCCAGATGCATTACATCTAAGACAATTAAAACAATTTGCAGCTGTTATTGCAGCTGCTCATGTCCTGGGAAAAAAAATCAGAGGAAATGGGAAAATTGCCAGGAGATCAGAGCTAAGCAAATCGCTCAGATTTTAGAAAGGAGGAGTTTATAATCTAGACCCAGATGAGTTTGATTTTCATATCTAACAACAAGGTAAAATGTATCCTTAGCTTAATTATTTGTATGCATTTAGTAAAAAAAAGAGCCACATAGCAGAGGCCAACATGAGGTTGCCAAAAATAATTCCTGACAACCCTTTTCATGTAGTTATTATGTTTGAAGGAAGGTAGACAAAAATTACATTGCAGGCAAACTTTGAATACCAGGCAGTATTGATTCCGAAGAAAATAAAACAACATGTTGAGTTCCTGCTATGTATACAATAAGAGGCCTTGGAATAAAATGTCTAACAAGACAGCCTTTTTATTTTTTATTTTGAGACAAGTTTTTGCCCAATTGTCTAGAGTGGGCCTGAACTCAAAATTTTCTTGCCTCAGCTTCCTGACTTGCTAAGATTATGTGTGCATGTTACTGCACCCAGCTTCTTGTGGGGATGACCCTAAAGGGAATTTTTACATTGGAAGACAAGATGGGATTTTCCCACTTTCACTTTTTATTAAAGAACCAATCGTAACCATGGGTACCTCTGTGTCACTGAAGGACTAGAGAGGGATGGCTTGGCCCTATGCCCGATTTTCTAAGCGCTTCATCCTTGCCCTCTTTAATTCAGTAAAGTTTTGGGAATGGATTTCTCCTTCCATTGGCCATTCTTCTGAAAGATTTCAAAGATGTTTATATTTGTCTAACTTTATTAGGACTTCACTCACTTCTAATATGACAAACGTCATGACGTAAATAGCCATAGATAAAGATGTCAAGCTCTTTAGTTGAGTTTTCCTAAGGAATTCAGGCATAGGACCCAGTGGTTCCATTTTTGTTGATCTTTAGTCATGAGCCATGCACAGCCTCCTACTCTTCATGATCGTCACTGTATCATAACTTCTCAAAAAACAAGTCTAAAAGTGTACTTCTGTGCACCTCAGACCTCCCACATAGAAGACAAGTTCAAGCACTGTCCTGGTATCCTCCGTACATTTGCCCAGGCCACTTCTCTTCTTCACATCCACCCTCGCTACTCCTGTGGCACTTCTACGACCTGTGCCTCCAGGGTCATCTTCCTTTAGAAAATAATAATGCCAAGAGCTCTCGTAAGTTTCACTTTTGGCTCTGAGAATGACCATCACACACCTGCCACCTTGGGATTCCACTATTCCATGTGTTACCATTTTCAGTCATTGTTCTTAAAGAGCTTTGTTGAATGACCTCAGTCCAGCCCTTGGTCCCTTGCCTTTCTCCTTCCGTTTCCCTGCTTGCCTTCCATAGTCTTCCAAGAAGTTTAACGACATAATCCTGCATCTAATTTACCCACTACCATTTTCCGACAAATTGTCTCGAGAAACTCCGAAACTGTCTCCATCTCATATAGAAACAAACTTCTCTCCATCATGACAACACTCTGAAGCCTTTCCATGTCCTTGAAATCTTAAGTTACAAGTGTTCCCTAAATAAACCTGCAATATTACAACTTTATCGAAGAAAAACTAGTTTCTTTGAAAAAAAGAACGATATATGCTCTTTCTATTTGTTCTTTTCCCATTTGGCCTGCAATTCAGTATAATCTGGGTTTCTGCCACAACTGTTCACTAACCTGCATCCCAGACAGTCAGTAACTTCCTTCTAGTTGGCAAACACAATGGACACATTCCAGTTCAATTATTACTTTATCTCCCTGCAGCAGTTGTCATCGTGAACATTTCCTTCTTTTTGAAATTCTCTTCAGCCTTGAGCTCCAAGATTTTCCTCATGACTGATTCTTCCTTTTGACTTTTCTTGTCTCTCTCTACCAGCCACTAAAAAAAAATTGATCTTGACCAAGATTTTACTCTCGGGGCTTTACTTATCTCACTCTTCAAGGGCTCCCTTGAGTAATCTCAATCCCACACAAACTTCTGCTAACTTGGGTGCTGACCTCTGACCTCTAGGCTCACATCTCTGCTTGCAGGCATTGCCATCTTAGAACTTCAAAGTAACCTAACTTGCCTTGTCATTTTCCTTGTCCTCGATGCCTCAAAAAACTTGAGAAGAAAATTTCTTTTATGAGCCTCAATTATCTGGTTTCCCTGTTTGGCTGCTCTTTCTTCCTCCCCTTTGATTCTGATAACATGAGACTCTGATGCAAAATAACAGAATATCTAGTTCACACTTGGCAGGTAAGACTAAAACCCCATTCTCAAACAGTGATCAAAAATCAGGTTAGCGTTTCTTTAGGTTACTGCCATTATTTCAAAAATGAAATTAAGGATTACCAATTACTATAATTTTATCATTTTAGAACATACATGTATTGAAACATCACATTGTACCCCATAAGTATATGAAATTATTATGTGTCAGTTAAAAGTAAGCTCTAATATAAGTACGATTTTAAAAATAAATTAGAAAGGTGGATCTAATCATGTTCTCATTGGAATTTTGTGAGCAAATCTTGCACTCTGAAATTTACAGAAGTCCTCTTGCCTCGGCAAATTACATGTTGAAATACCATGTTACGTTTTGACAGAAAAAAAAAAAAACTTTGTAATTGTCCAGTTGTTTTTTCTGTAAACACAAGTGAATTGGAGGTACCCTT